TGAGTACGTGTCCGCACGTACGCCAAGTAAACGCCGATTATATGCGGTTGTATTGACCAGAATATCAGTACTACTGATGAGTATAAGATTTTTAGCCCTAATCTTAATTAAAAGAAAATTCATATTAGATTTACTATTTGATACATATTATATGAATGTCAAAAGTGTGTTATACATGGCTGTAGTTATAATAATGTTTGCAAACTTTTGTTTTGGGTATTCTACATCATATATGGAAATTAATAATAAAATGACATGCCTCAACTTCATAAATAATTTAAAATACAATTCATTTAATTATCCATTAAGTAGTCATAAAATGAATAAATTAGCCAAGTATCTAGCATTGCTAAATTTATATTTTTGTAAGTACATTTATCGATTTGTAATTTTGTCATCCACATTATTTCATGGATATCATACGACAATAATATTTATTAATAATCCATCTTGGAGTAAATTTGTCATGATGAACATATTGAACATTCACGTATTGTTAAGTTTAATGGTGTTGATAGCGTTGGTATGTATGATGCTATCGGTATTCATTACAACCGTTTATTACTTGAAACACAAATTTCTTGAGATCTGCCGTAAGATAGCATTGAGTGTTAAATACGATAACAAACGGCTATTAATGGCGGCTATCGTTGAACACCATTATTGGGAAATACAGACCAAACGGTTGAATGATTACTTCAAACACATACTATTCATACTTTATTACATCGCAACCATTGGCTGTCAAATAGTTATTTATTTGACACATAACCCAAACTCTGATCTATCGGTCAGAATAATTATGTCCATTTGTACCCTCTGTTTGTGTTTAATACCTTTCTTGGTATACCTGATGTGCGCCTGGATATCAAAGGCAGCCCATAGACCCTATGCCCTAATGTTGTCATATATATCGTCGCCGAAGACTGTATTATCTTTGAGACAGAGGTTAGGGGTTATGGTATTCATTGAACGCCTGTCCACTGGACCGGCAATCGGTTACTATTGCTATGATTTGTTTCCTATGAATAGCTATGAAGTATATCAATGCTTATATATTGCTGGACGTAATTATATCTTAATTATGACACAATTATAATTACTCAAATTAAAATAATTTATTTTGTTGAATTACATCCATTGAAATCACAATCAAATCACTAAATTGTGTAAAAATATTAGATTTAATTAGCATTTAATTAGCACGATATTTTATTATCAGGTAGTGGTCAGAGGGTTAACTCAGTTATCAAAACTCCGTGGTTTACGGGAATTAACTATTTTGATCAATAATTTCGGTCAAATGACTGAATCGCTTATGAATGGTATCAAAGACTTAGGACTCAATTGCAAACACATTCAGAGACTTTGTCTAACATTTGTTAGGGTTTTGACACGAGAATTGACTCAAATTTGTCAATCCATTCACTCGTATTGCAAATTAAAATCATTGACTTTATTATGTAGTATAGAGAACAGGTATTCTGTAGTGGATTGGGACACCTGTACTGTACTAGGTCATTGTGGTCATTGTGGTCATTGTCTCAATGCAAACAATTAAAGCATTTGTCGCTAGAGTTGCAGAACTGTGTAATGAGTGACACATTCTTTGACTCAATTCACACACATTTACCACACATTCAGATGTTGTATATTAGGAGGGAACTGGTGATGAGCCCCAGTATTGAGAATTGTATGCAACGGATTCCTAAACTGAAAATATTTCACAAATTTGACAAAAAGAGATTTAATTGAATTGAAAGTATTTTGTATCTATCTATGTCTATATTATTGAATATAATCTAATCTAAAAATCAATTAAACTCTTATTTATTTAATATTTGCTTATATTGCTATATAACTACAAATTACTTAAATTATAAAACAATTATTTAAAAATATATACAATTATTAAGTTTCTCAAAGACGACTATTTGATTATTTTCTAAATAAAATTATTTAACTAAATTATTTATTTGCTTTTTAAAAATAAAACATAAGTTCAATACTGCATATAATATTCTAGATATTTACTGTCATTTATTTCAAGATGTTTATGAACTCAATCTATTGCACTGAATTGACTACTGAAATAAAGTGTAGGTTTTGTAAATATTGTTTTTGCAATGTTAAGTTTTTCTTATCGTAGCATGATGAATCATTTATTGCTTTACTATTACTATCACGTCATTTACACGTTATTAAAACGCATGTCTAATGAAATTAATGTTTGTTTATACAGTTGTCAAGTGTTGACATGAAAAGTATTGACATCAACACTACTGTTGAGTAATAATTCTTATGTTATTTTGAACTTAAAATCATATTTTAATTATACTTTGAATATTTTTTTAACTACAAGTATTATACATTAAATGTTATAAAAATCCACAGTGTGTACGATATTTGTTAACTTATTAATAATATAGTTTTATAAAGTTGCTTACCTGTGCTAATAGGCAAATAGACCAGTCAATTGTAAAATGCCATGCTACAATATATTAAAAGTTTGCGTAAAAAGTGACTACCTTGAGACTGTACTGATACATGTGTTCACGTAATACCCACACACGTGCTCTCATTCAAACAAATTACTATTCATTTACTGATCACTTGTTTACAACTTTATTGCTCTTTAAGTATTTATTTAACAATTTTTATTTTTGTTCAAAATGTCAACGAATCGCATTCCAGAAGAATATTACCCGAAGTACTCATCGGACAGATTCGGTGATGATATGTGTGCTCTCATAACGTTTTATCTGTCACTTGAAGACTGTTTCCGATTTGAATGTCTGTCCAAACAGTGGCAGAGATGTGTATTCAAGAATGCGGACACTCTTATGCTATCAGATAAACAGCTCAAGAATATGCCCATAAGATTCAAACCGTTATTGTCATCATTGGTCACAAAGTGTGCAAACATTACATCCATTGATATTGAGATCAATTCAGAAGCGACTGAAAAAGTGTTTGAAATACTCGTGAATTCATACAAGAATTTGAATGCAATTCACGTGCGGTTTGTGCCCAAAGCTGACTGTCATATAATGGACACAATATTCCGTAAACACGACAATAGATTAACTGACATTACTATCGGATCTCATAATGACCTGGCTGTCAAAGTAATTAAACACTACGCCTACTACTGCATAAATCTCCGACAACTGTCCACTACTTGTCCGCAAAATAGTTTATTAGACTTATCTGTCATTTTGTATAACATAACGAAAACTAAAGTTTTATTGAAAAGTCTGACAAACACTCGATTCATATACAGAGGCGACGAAGACTCGGATCTATTGGAAGAGTTTGTCAATCAATACGAAAACCAACTCAAGATTATTGACATAGACTTCGAGGACTGCGATACTGAAGAAGTGGTCGACGGGTTGACACAATTATCACATTTGAAAGTCTTAACAAAACTAACTCTTCGTATGGACTGCGATATTGTGTCGATCGATGAACTACTTATAGATGGTATGAAACATATGGCCATTGAATGCAAACAAATCAAGAGATTGTGCTTAAAGTTAGTGAATATATTGGGACAAGAATTCGCTAATATATTCCCATCTATTCAATGGTTTAAAGGTTTAAAAGAATTGGATTTGATTTTGTATTTTAGTGATATTTACTCAGATATGGATACTATAATTAAATCATTGTCTGAATGCAAACAATTAACACATTTGTCACTAGAGTTCAAGAGTTGTGTATTAAATGAGACATTCTTTGACTTAATTCATACACATTTACCACACATTCAGACATTGCATATAAGGGATGACCTGGTGATGAGCACCGGGACTGAAAATTTGATACAACGGATGTCTAAACTGAAAATATTTCACGGATTTGACAGAAAGAGATTTAATTGAATGAAATATTAAAATGTAATTTTAAAAATTAACTTTTTATGACATAAACTTAACTATTAAATTATTATTAACTATAAAGTACTAATATTATATTATAAACTATTGTTTAAATAAATTATTATACAATTTCACGACAAATATTGTGCACAATTACTGTCATTTCTATGCTTATGTTTCTATGTATTAATAATACTTTTTATAAAATTATTTTAAGTGCAAATGAAAAACAGATTATAAATAAAGTAGATTAGAAAATATACCAACATGCTAATCTTAATCCAAAATCCTGTTCAAAACTAGTTTATTTAAACTTTGCAAATAGTCAGACCTACACGTGCTCTCAAGCAATAAATACAATTTTCTGTTCACTTGTTTATGATTTTAATTGTGGATTTCATTATATTGGTATAACAAACGCTATTTATTAAGTATAATTAAATGTATGTTTTGACAAAAGATGTCAACGAATAGGACTCCAGAGGAATATTATCCCAAAGACTCGTTCGAGAGATTTGGTGATGACTTGTGTCAACTCATATTGTCTTATCTGTCGTTTAAAGAGTGTTTCCAATTTGAATGTCTGTCCAAACAATGGCAGCGATTAGTGTTCAAGAATGTGGACAGTCTTATACTATCAGACAAACAGCTCCTGAAACTGCCCGTAAGATTCCGGCGGTTATTGTCATCAGTGGTGAGAAAGTGTGCAAACATTACATCCATTGATATTGAGATCAATTCGGAAGCAACGGAACGGGTGTTTAAAGTATTCATGAATTCATACAAGAATTTGAATGTAATTCACGTCCGGTTTGTGCCCAGAGTTGACTCCATAATCATGCGAACAGTACTCCGCAGACATTACACGAGATTAACTCGTATTACTCTGGGATGGCATAACAATGTGGCCATAAATCAATTCAAATATTATATCTATTTCTGCACAAATGTCAGACAACTGTCCCTTCATAGCCCGCAAAATAGTTCACTTAAATTATCTGTTATTTTCGGGACAAATAACACACTTTTACTGAAAAGGTTGACAAACTTTCAACTCATATACAGGGGCGATGAGGACTTGGATCTCTTGAAAGTGTTTGTCAATCACTATAAATATGAACTCAAGTCTATTGATATAGACTTCGATGACTGCGATACTGAACAAGTGGTCGATGGGATGATAGAGTTATCAGATCTGAATGCCTTAACAAAACTAACTCTACGTATGAATTGCGCTAAAATGAATGTAATTGGAGAACCATTGGGTGGTATGAAACTGTTGGGCGATGACTGCAAACACATCACGCGATTGTGTTTAAAGTTAGTGAATATATGGGGAACAGAATTCAGATGGATTTACAGATCCATTAAATATTTTTGCAAATTACGAGCACTTGATTTGATTTGTTATTTCGATGGCATAACCCCTGAAAAGCATAAAGTGGTCATTGAATCACTGTCTCAATGCAAACAATACAGACATTTGTCGCTAGACTTCAAGAAATATGAATTGAATGACAGATTCTTTGACTCAATTCACACACAATTACCACACATTCAGTCGTTGCATATCAGGAATAATCTGGTGATGAGCCCCGGGATTGAGAATTGTATGAAACATATGCCGAAACTGAAAATATTTCACGGATTTGACAGAAAGAGATTTAATTGAATGAAATATTTTAAAATACACTTTTTATAACCCAATCTTATCTCACAAGCTATTAACCATACTAAACTACTGTATTAGAAAATATTACTAAAATAAATGACTTATTACGGTAACAAATATTTTCCTCATTTCCAGTAATATTTATTTCCACTACATATGCCTTAATTGAAAATATTTCACTGATTTGACAGAAAGTGATTTAATGAAATTAAACCAAATTAAAATGTTTATGTTTTATGACTTATTATTAATATTTATAATATTTAATATTCTAGTATTAAAATACTGTATTATAAAATATTGTTTAAATATAAATTTTTTTGTCACTATTCTACACAATTATTGTCATTTTTAATGCATTTAATAAAGTTATTTCAGGTGCAAACGTAACCCAGATACTAAATAAAGTTTACTTTATAAATATTAACAAAATGTACAGTGTATAATGCTAACTTTTGGCACAATCTTAATCCAAATCCTATACAAAACTAGTTTACTAACTAATCTATGCAAATAGTCAGACCTACAGGTGCTCCTAAACTTTAGGCCTTAAACAGTAAAAACAATTGAATAGTTCACTTGTTTATGGTCTCAATTGTGAATTCATTATTTGAATAGTAAATGCTATTTATTAATATTAATTATAATTAAAAGTTGTATTTTGTGGAAAGATGTCTACGAATAGGACTCAAGAGGAATATTATCCCAAAGACTCGTTGGACAGATTCGGTGATGACTTGTGTGGACTCCTATTGTCTTACCTATCATTTGAAGACTGTTTCCGATTTGAATGTCTATCCAAACAGTGGCAGCGATTAGTGTTCAAGAATGTGGACACTATTATACTATCTGAGAAACAGCTCATGCTTTTGCCCATAAGATCGCTGCGGTTATTGTCATTAGTGGTGAGAAAGTGTACAAACATTACATCCATTGATATTGAGATCTATTCGGAAACAACGGAACGAGTCTTTGAAAGACTCATGAATTCATATTTTTGCCCATAAGATCGCTGCGGTTATTGTCATTAGTGGTGAGAAAGTGTACAAACATTACATCCATTGATATTGAGATCTATTCGGAAACAACGGAACGAGTCTTTGAAAGACTCATGAATTCATACAAACACTTGAAGACAATTCACGTGCGGTTTGTTCCCAGAGTTGACTCCATAATAATGGGCACAATATTACGTAAACACGACTCAAGATTAACTGATATTACCCTCGGGTGCCATTAGTAACCTGGCTATAGATGTATTTAAACAGTACCTAAATTCTTGCACAAGTCTCAGACAACTTTCCACTACTTTTCCGGAAATTAGTTCATTTGATTTGTCTGTCATTTTCAACAGCAATAATAAACTAATTGTTAAAAGTTTAACAAACAGTCGATTTAGATGCAGAAGCCCTACTAATTTGAAACTTTTGAAAGTGTTTGTCAATCACTATGAATATCAACTAAAGTCTATCGATATAGACATGGGTGACTGCTTTATTCACCAGGTAGTTAATGCATTGACACAGATATCACATCTGAAAAACTTAACAAAATTAACTCTACGTATGAATTGTATTATTTTGACAATCGATGGACGCATTATAGATCGTATGAAACAGTTGGCCATTCAATGCAAACATATTACGCGATTGTGTTTAACATTACTGTATATACGGCGTCGAGAATTCCCTTTAATACTCACATCAATTCAATTGTTTGCAAAACTACGAGCACTTCATTTAATTTGTTATTTTGAGGTTGAGGCTGCAAATGATAATGTAGTCATTGAATCACTGCCTGAATGCAAACGATTAACATATTTGTCACTCGATTTGCAAAATAGTGTATTGAATGCGAGATTCTTTGACTCAATTCACACACATTTACCGCACATTCAGACGTTGCATATGAATGGTAAGAAAGATCTGGTGATGAACACCAGTATTGAGAATTGTATGAAACGGTTGCCTAAACTGGAAATATATCACGGATTTCACCGAAAGAGACTTAATTTGACCCAAAATGAAAATGAAATTAAAATATTAACTTGTTTTTAACGTAAACCTAACTGAGCATTTAACTTGTGTATACCAAAATATTGTTTAAATAAATTACTTTTTCACTAAATATAAATATTCTACACAATTATTGTTATTTTTAAAACTCAAAATAAGTTGACAATATTGTGAGCACTGGGAGGCTGTCCGCCTAAATCCCGGCTCACGGTTACGGTAGATTAATTAGCTTGCTTATTTGATCTTGGTGATTTTAGTTAAATTTGGTTAATTAAGTAAATAACACTGTATATTTTTCAAAAAGGCCTTTATTAGAGATAAATACAGTAATACATAAAGTGATGTTCACTTGAGAGCACCACTCAATAGACTGTGTTTTAAACAAAGAAAACATCTGTTTATATAGAAAAGACATTAAAAAGATTTATGTGACAGTTTATGTACAGTAATAGCCTTTGTGACATAATATGCATAAACAAACAGGATCATGTTGCATGCTTACGAGGCAATACAGTACAGTCATTTATTGTTGACAGCAAAAAAACAACTATAATTAATAGGGTCTTACAATATTCACTGGAATAAGTATAATTTATTTTGCATAGATGTTGATATTTTTATTTAATGTTTATAAATAAATACAATTACATTATTATCTAATTATTAGATTCTAATACTACTTTCGTAATGAATGATATCATATCTTCAAAAATATTATATTACAAAATTATAAATGTTGTCTACTAGTGCTTATTGGTATAAATTATATTATTATGGCGCTGCATTATTAGCAATTTACTGTAGCTTAGTACCATAAATAGTGATTTACTTGCAGTTAGTCTGAACTGAGTGTCCATTCATTCGTTGATAACTATATTACAGTTACTATATATTTGGTGATACCGTTCAACTCATCCAATATCTTCAATATCCTCGACAATGGCAATGATACCGGCGATAGGCATAGACTTGGGCACAAACTACTCGTGTGTCGGAGTTTATCAGCATGGTAAGGTGGAGATCATCACCAATGACCAGGGCAATAGGACGACCCCCTCGTATGTGACGTTCACAGACACGGAACGTCTAATTGGAGACCCGGCTAAGAATCGGGTGAATATGAATCCGTCGAATACCGTCTATGACGCCAAGAGACTGATAGGTCGGGGCTTTGATGACCTCCCGGTTCAGTCAGATATGAATCACTGGCCCTTCGATGTGGTGTCCGATTCGGGCAAACCTAAGATCAAAGTGGACTATAAGGGAGAGTCAGAGTACTTCTCTCCCGAAGAGATCTCAGCGATGGTGTTATTGAAGATGAAGGAGATCGCGGAGGCATACCTGGGCGGACAGGTGTCCAATGCCGTGGTGTCAGTGCCCGCCCTTTACAACCAGAGTCAGCGTCAGGCTATTAAAGACGCGGCAATCATCAGTGGTCTTAATGTCCTGAGGATTATCAATGAGCCGATAGCGGCGGCCATTGCGTACGGACTCGACAGGAGGGGTCCGAAAGAGCGCAATGTCCTTATCTTCGACTTAGGCGGCGGTGCGCTCGACGTGTCGGTCCTCGCCATAGAACACGGTATCTTTGAAGTGAAGTCAATGGCCGGAGACTTGCATTTGGGAGGCGAGGACTTCGACACCCGACTCGTCAACCATTTCGTACGTAAGTTCAAATGCCGGCACCGGAAGGATCTGTCGGTGAATAAGCGAGCGATGCGTCGGCTGAGGACGGCCTCCGAGCGCGCGAAGAGGACGCTCTCGTCGGCCAGTGAGGCGTTCGTCCAAATAGACTCACTCTTCGAGGGCATAGACTTCTACTCAAAGATCACGAGATCCCGGTTTGAAGAGCTGAACGAAGACCTGTTTCGGTCGACTCTGGAACCGGTGGAGAGGGCGTTGAGGGACTCCAAGCTAGACAGGGGTCAGGTGCACGACATCGTACTGGTGGGCGGGTCGACACGGATTCCCAAAATACAGAAACTTCTTCAAGACTTCTTCGGCGGTAAACAACTCAACAAAAGCGTTAATCCGGACGAAGCGGTCGCATACGGGGCCGCAGTTCAGGCGGCGATCCTCAACGGCGACAGGAGTCAGGCCGTGAAGAACCTCCTGGTGCTCGACGTGACCCCCCTGTCACTGGGCATCGAGACTGCGGGCGGAGTGATGACCACTGTTATCAAACGCAACACAACTTTCCCCACCCGTCAGACCCACATAATGACCACCGATTCGGACAATCAGTTGGAAGTTGCCATTGAGGTGTATGAGGGGGAGGGAGACATGACTAAAGACAACAACCTTTTGAGAAAATTCTGGTTGACAGGCATTCCTCCGGCGCCAAAAGGTGTGCCTCGGATTGAGGTGGTCTTTGAAATAGACATCAACCGCTTTCTCAATGTGTGGGCCGTCATCAAGAGTGCCGGCGAAAAGAATACGAGAACCGCTACTAACCATAAGGAAAGGCTTTCCACAGAAGGTCTCTTCGAAGACAGACGAAGGCCTGACAGAAGGCCTGACAGAAGGTCACAGAAGGTGGCGAAGGGCTATAAGAAGGAGGAGGACAGACAGAGGGACCGCAAATATAATTATTTTCATAATTTTTGTAATTCCATATTTAATTAGTGATTAACTCCTGTTTTTATCTTATATTTTACATTTATACATTATACTGTATGCCCTTATTATATGATACTTTGTACTACATGGTATAATAAGTACTTAGTACTACAGTACAAAGCTTGTAGTATAAGGGCCACAAACATCAAAATAAATCAGTTATAGTATATACCGTAATAATATTTATATTGTATCAGAATAATTGTCATTGAATGCAAACATATCAAGAAATTGTGTTTAAAGTTGGATAATATTTGGCACTAGAAATTGCTTTAATATACTACAGAATCTGAAGTACAGATCTATTAAATTATTTAATAAATTACGAGCATTTGGTTTGATTTGCTATTATGAGAGCAGTGCTGCTAATGATGATGTGGTCATTGAATCGCTGTCTGAATGCAAACAATACTTTTGTCACTTGACTTCAAGAATTGAACAGAATTGCTGTTTATTATAGTTTAAATTGCATTGAAAATAAAAATGATTTAACTACTTTTAAACTTAATTAAGTCATTATTTATAGTAACTTTTAATTTGTTTAATTATTTTCCAAGTTAGCTAACAATTATAACTTGTTAAATTTACAAAATTGCAATTAATATTAAAATTATAACTAAATCTAATAAAAATACACTAAACCAACGATAAATTGAGTTTAATAGAATTATTTATCTAAACTTAATAAACATAGTTTAGAATCACTAAATTAATAGTTTATAATCATTTTATAGATTATTTGTGTCATATAAATTAAAATTAAACATTCTATTAAGCTAGAAAATAATAATTTTATAAATAAAATAGATAGATCCTTATTGCATGTTGTGATTCAATTGTGAATTGAATGACAAATTCTTTGACTCATTGTACACACAATGACCACACATTCAGACGTTACATATCAAGAATATTCAGGCGATGAGCTCCGGGATTGAGGTATGTATGCAACGAATGCCTAAATTGGAAATATTTCACAGATTCATAAAATGGATTTTAATAAATTTATAATTTAAATCAAGTTGAAAACAATTAAAAACTTTATATTACCAGTACTTAAACTTTAAAAATAAATATTAACAAGTAAGTTATAAATGTTTAGATTATTTTCATAATAAGTATATTTAAAATAATTTGCTTTATTTAAATTCAATACAAAATCTATTACTAGGCAATATTTAATTTACAAGATAATTAAAACAGGATTAAAATATTTTTAAAAATCAATCATTATGGGAATCAACTCCTATTACATAAATTGCATAATTATGTGGCAATTGGTATACTACATAATTATTGTATACTATTTGTGGTTAAAATTAAAATCAATTGACCATCGACTGATTGCCAGTAAAAATAAGACAACAAATATTAACCTAATTATGCATAAACTTAACGATATATTCACACAAATCAATGGTTATAACCGTATTTATTGGC